CCAAGAACTATTAAGATAAAATCAAAGAAAACTCAGATGAGTGTGTATAAATAAACTTGTACATGTATGTGTAGTGTGACCTAAGTGTAAGTAGAAGTATATGAAATATATATATATATATATATAATATATATCAGGAGGTTTTGTGGGCGAGGGGCTTGGACTTCCAGCAAGCGTGCATGAGCGTGTTAGATAGGAGTGAATGGAGACGAATGATACTTGGGACCTGACGATCTGTTGGAGTGTGAGCAGGGTAATATTTAGTGAAGGGATTCAGGGAAACCGGTTATTTTCATATAGTCGGACTTGAGTCCTGGAAATGGGAAGTACAATGCCTGCACTTTAAAGGAGGGGTTTGGGATATTGGCAGTTTGGAGGGATATGTTGTGTATCTTTATACGTATATGCTTCTAAACTGTTGTATTCTGAGCACCTCTGCAAAAGCAGTGATAATGTGTGAGTGATGATGAAAGTATTTTCTTTTTTGGGGATTTTCTTTCTTTTTTGGGTCACCCTGCCTTGGTGGGAGACGGCCGACTTGTTGAAAAAAAAAAAAAAAAAAAAAAAAATTATATAATATATATAGTTTAATTCTTTATTTTAAAATATTACAAATTATGAGGTAAATTGGTATTATGGCTAAGTGACTAAATACTAGTTTGTGAGTTTAGCAATGTGAATGCTTTTGTTTTGGCACAGTACATAGTTTCAATATTGGAGTATCATAGGATTCATTATTTTAAGATTGAGATTAATATTTCTGTTTATGGTCAAATGGGTGAGTGAGTGTAAGTGTGAACCACCAGGTGGTATTCGTGTAGTTAGTTGATGGGGTTTATCAGGGAGATAAGATGTTTTCTAATGGTAGTTTTGAAGGTGATGAATGTGTCTGCAGTTCTAGAGTTCTCAGGTAGGGTGTTCCAGATTTTAGGGCCTTTGACATACATTGAATTTTTGTAAAGGTTTAGTCGAACATGGGGAATGTCGTAGAGATGTTTGTGTCTGGTGTTATGCCTGTGGGTTCTGTCACAACTATCAAGAAAGCGTTTTAGGTCAAGGTTGATATTGGAGTTTAAGGTCCTGTAGATGTAGATTGCACAGTAGTAAGTGTGGATGTACTGAACAGGGAGTAAGTTTAGATCTATGAAGAGTGGGGGGGGTGTGTTGCCAGGGATGGGATTTAGTGATTATTCTTACTGCAGCTTTTTGTTGGGTTATTATTGGCTTTAGGTGTGTTGCTGCAGTTGATCCCCAAGCACAAATAGCATAGGTGAGGTATGGATAAATAAGTGAGTGGTATAGTGTGAGAAGGGCATTTTGCGGCACTTAGTATCGTATCTTGGAGAGGATCCCAACTGTTTTGGATACTTTTTTGGTTATGTGTTGGATGTGGGTGCTGAAATTCAGGTTGTTGTCAAGTTATAGGCCTAGGAATTTGCCCTCATTATGTCTGGTAATTAGAGTGTTGTCGATCTTAATGTTAATTTGTGCATATCCTGCTCTGCTACCAAACATAATATAGTAGGTTTTGTCAGTGTTAAGCGTAAGTTTATTGGCTGTTATCCAAGTCGATATTTTGATCAGCTCCTCATTAACAATGGTGTTGAGGGTGGCAAGATTAGGGTGAGAGATGACATAAGTCGTGTCGTCAGCAAAGAGAATGGGTTTCAGGTGTTGGGATACGTTTGGAAGATCATTGATGTATATGAGGAAGAGCAGGGGACCAAGGACACTTCCCTGCGGAACTCCAGTATCAAGTGGCCGTGTTGTTGATGCTGTGTCTTTAATGGTAACATACTGATACCTATTAGTAAGGTAAGATTTGAAATAAGGAAGCGCATGGCCTCTTATACTGTAATGGTCAAGTTTGTGGAGTAGGATGTCGTGGTCTACTGTGTCAAAAGCTTTTCTTAGGTCAATAAAAATTCGTAGTGGATATTCCTTATTTTCCAATGCTGTGTAAAGCAGATCTAGCATTTTTATGATTGCATCATTAGTGCTTTTATTTTTCCTAAATCCAAATTGGCAGGGGTTGAGTATGTTTTGTGCTGTTATAAATGAATATAGTCTCCTGTGCACGAGTTTCTCAAAGATTTTGGATAGCAATGGTAAGTTTGATATTGGCCTATAGTTGTTTAAGTCTGTAGGGTCACCACCTTTATGTATTGGTGTAACCCTTGCCATCTTGAGTAGTTTCGGGAAGGTGCTAGTTTCTAGTGACTTGTTAAAAAGTAATGAAATAGCATGCGAAAGGATATGGACCGCTCTCTTGTACAGTAATGGTGGGACATTAGACAGATTCCCTGAGTTGTTTTTAAGTGACTTTATAATCTCGGCGACTTCCGAGGGCTCAGTTGGTGCAAGATAGAAGGAATTTGGGAAATTCCCATCTAGGTAGTCCCTGGCATGGGCATTAGTATGTGGGATTTTATTGGCGAGATTAGATCCTATGGTTGAGAAGAAGTCGTTTATCTTGTTAGCTGTGTCAGTGGGATGTAGTGGTGTTTCATTAGGTTTAGTTAGGACAATATTCTTGTTTTTTTTTCAGTTTGTGGGTCCCTAGAATCTGAGAGAGTGTTTTCCAGGTCTTTTTTATATCTCCTCTAGTGTCTGTGAATCTACTGGAGTAGTATAGTTGTTTGGCTTTCCTTTATTACTTTGGTGAGAACTGATGAATAGTGTTTAAGAATATCTTTGTGTATTAAGCCCTGTCTATACTGCTTTTCATATTGGTGTTTCTTGTCAATGGATTTCAGAATGGTGCTGGTTAGCCATGGGCAACCAAGCCGTTTGTTTGTGATCTGTTTTGTTTTTATAGGACAATGTTTGTTGTATAGTCTAAGTAATTTGTTAAGAAAAATGTCTGTCCAGTCATCAGTACCATTGGCCTTGGAGAATTCTGTAGGCCAGTCAACAATCTCTAGGTCAGTTGTGAACTTCCTTATTGAAGCCTCGTCATGGAGTCTAAATGAGACTTTGTTGTATTCAAGTGGTGGTTTATTAATGTTTGTCAGGAGGAAGGTAGGGTAGTGGTCTGTAGTGCTATCTGTGATTATCCCTGATTTAAGGGGGCTAGTATATTGGTCCATATGTGGTCTATTATGGTTGCACTTGTCTCAGTGAGCCTGGTTGGTTTAATTATTGTTGGTATGAGAAATGTGTTGTTCATATTGTTGATGAAATCAGTTACAGGCTGATCATCTAGTAAGCCAAGGTTGATGTTGAAGTCTCCAGCTAAGAGAAGGTGGTGCTTATTCATTTGTCTGTTTGTTATTAGTGACTTTAATTTCTCACTGAAATTTGGGATGTTTGTGTGAGGTATCCGGTAAATGGCACCGATTGTTATGGGTGTCTTAAGGTTTTTTACAGTAAAATTAGCAAAAATGTATTCCCCATATTCATCACTAAAGCAAGTGGTGCTAATACAAGATAATTGGTTAGAGTAATAGATTGCAATACCACCCCCAACTTGGTTTGGTCTGCAGTTGTGAATTGCTGTGTATCCTGGTAGAGGGTAGATATCTATTGTGTCCTGCTTAAGCCAGGTCTCAGTAAGAATAATGCAGGAGAAGGGTGTCTTTAGTGATTCAAGGAGTGCCAGGAGGTCATCATAGTGTTTGCTTAAGGACCTGATGTTGTAGTTAAGTACTGATAGGCTTTTAGCATTGTTTAGGATAGTGCTGGCTTGTGATGCTGTGTAATAAAGGCAGTTACTTTCCAATAGGTTTTGATTGGGTGTCAGATTATGGAGGTTTAGATCAGGGTCAATGTGATCAATCATCTTCTAGGTTTAAATTATGGTTATTTATATCCTGAGTTATGTGTTGAGTTCTAGTACTGATATCTGTAGTGGTGGGAAGCTTGGATAAGTATATAGCTAGAGTATTTTGGTCATATAGAGTATAGTCACTACTACACATAATGAAGTTGATGTTGTCTATGTGTTGTGCTGAAATGAACTAAAGTACAACTAGGTATAAACTAGTAATATAAAAATACAAATTTAAAATAGAACAAGACTCTCACTTGTAAATGCACTAAGGTCTAATATAATGACTTTTGTGGAGTCTATGTTTTGAGCTAGAATGAGCTATAGTACAACTAGATTTAATCTAATAATATAAAAATACAAATTAAAAATAGCACCAGTCTCTCACTAGTAATTGCAATATGGTCTAATATAATGAATTTGGTATTGACTATAGTACAACTGAGTTTAATCTAATAATATAAAAAAGGCACAAGACTCTCAATTGTAATTGCACTAAGGTGTTATATAAGTTGTTTACAAGAATTAGAGTATAACTAGATTTAAATTGACAAGATAAAATATACAAGGTAGCAAAAGAATAAAAAAAGTAGAAAAAAAAAAAAAGATATATGAGGTAGTTGGTACTAGTTAGCAAAAGATAGTTAAGGGCCTTGAACAATAATATAATTGAAATATACACTAATTGCACACACAATATAGTCACTAAGATATGAAAACAATCTTAGAGTAGGAATTATAATATAAACTTATAAAAATACAAATTGAAATGGTACTTGCAATTGCACTAGAGTCTGGTATAGGTTGTTGACAAGATCAGGAGTATAACTAGATTTAAATTGACAAAATAAAATTCACAAAGTACCAAAAGAATAATAGTAAAAAATAACAATGGTAATGTCTTAGTTATAATATGATAGTAAGATGGTAGACAGGTACACAACAGGTACAAAGGATAATATAAAGGTTGGAGTTGAATATACAAACTTGATAATTTGGCAACAAAATGTTATGGGAAGTATAAAATAATGTTTAATGTACAAAAGTAAAATTGACTGGTAGTAAATATGGTGTTTAATAAAATTTTAAGTAAGTAATAATGATTACAAAAAAAGTGAAAAAGTATATATGATAATAAGTTCAGTGTTAAGACTACTTGTTCACAAGTTAAAACACTGGGAACACCTCTTTAATTTGGGGCCCCTGCTCTACACTAATTTTTTTTCAACAGGGTGCATTCTGGGGGCTGGTGATTGGCTTTGTGATAGGTACAGTACGTATGGTTTTGGATTTCTACTTCGGGGAACCGACCTGTTATGAGGATGATTATAGACCTGTAATTATTCAAAATGTGAGTATTTTTATGTATTTACATTATCTCTTATCAACCTTTATATCTACATCTGCCATTTCCCAGAGAAGGAAAACATTCATTATCTCTTTCTCCTGTCTGTCCATCATTCAGAGTGTAGGCACTACTTCCCACCTCCAGAATTAAAGTTCAGCCACTCTAACTGGTTTTCATGATTCTTTTCATATACAGTAAGGCCCCACTTATACGGCAAGTTAGGTTCCAGGCTACTGCCAGAAAGGGACATCGCCGGAAATTGGAATGCCATTTGTTTCCACTTACAAATGTCAGATAATAAGTTTACACTAAATATATTAAGTTAGCAATAGAACTAGGCATTAAAAAAACAATAAAAAGTAAAATAATCGCACAGTACACTCATTACTTACCTCAGAATATTTGTAGCCTTAATGTAGGGTGGGAGGCGAGTAGTGTTTATTGAAATACCTGGAGTGGGTTTCGGAGGTCAATGCCCCTGCGGCCCAGACTGTGACCAGGCCTCATGGTGGATCAGGGCCTGATCAACCAGGCTGTTACTGTTGGCCGCACACAACCCGATGGTCAGGTACTGACTTTAGGTGCCTGTCCAGTGCCTTCTTGAAGACATCCAGGGGTCTATCGGTAATCCCCCTTATGTAAGCTGGGAGGCAGTTGAACAGTCTTGGGCCCCTGGCACTTATTGTGTTGTCTCTTATTATGCTATTGGTGCCCCTGCTTTTCATTGGGGGGATGTTGTAAGAAGTCAGGTGTGGTAGGAATGGTAGCCTTCCTGGCCAACCCACCCGCACATAATATACTAGGCATTTAAAGCGCCCTAGAGCGATAAAATGCATGTACAGTACACTCATTACTTACCTTAAAATATTTGTAGTCTTAATGTAGGGCGAGAGGTGGGTAAATGAGATAAAGATGAATAAACGAGAGAGAGAGAACGAGTATATGAGTAAGCACAGAGTCGCAGAGTATGTAAACAAACAGACGAACGTGGCTGGTGGGCTGATACATGTTCATTTCCATATTTGTAAAGCTTGTATCATAATACAAACACCTTACATTTTGTACAAGTTGTCTCCATGTTGGTACAGTAGAATAAAGAGCAACGCTCCCATTCTCATGTAATGCACCTTTTTTAGAAGGAATGACGCTCTGGGTGAAGGCATATGAAAGGAATAATTTTATACAGTTACCCCCAGTAATACTATTGTGTACACATTTTCTTTGGTGTTGGACTACAGAAAACTTTATTCTTTCCGACACTTTGACAAGACTGGAAAAACATCTCATATTTATGTTAACTTATTCTACTGTGGGTGTATTTATCATGTTTATATTTTACGTAGCATATTTATTATATAATTTTGAAAAAAATATCATAGATGTATTAAACAAAATGTCTATATGTATTAACATTTTATACGAGATTTAATGTGCCTCAGAGTGAGCATTATTGTATTATCATTGTGAACATTAAAATGGTATAAAATACCAACAGGTTGTTAGGTAAGACACATGCAACAGTTAGGTATCTTTATTTCGATGAGGGTATCAAATGGTTTAGATAAAGAAAAATTGGATATCAAATTGGGGAGGAGGAGTATGGAAGAAGTGAATGTTTTCAGATACTTGGGAGTTGACGTGTCGGCGGATGGATTTATGAAGGATGAGATTAATCATAGAATTGATGAAGTAAAAAAGGCGAGTGGTGCGTTGAAGTATATGTGGAGTCAAAAAACGTTATCTATGGAGGCAAAGAAGGGAATGTATGAAAGTATAGTAGCACCAACACTCTTATATGGGTGTGAAGCTTGGGTTGTGAATGCAGCAGCGAGGAGGCAGTGGAGATGTCCTGTCTAAGGGCAAAGTGTGGTGTAAATATTATGCAGAAAATTTGGTGTGTGGAAATTAGAAGGTGTGGAGTTAATAAAAGTATTAGTCAGAGGGCTGAAGAGGGGTTGTTGAGGTGGTTTGGTCATTTAGAGAGAATGGATCAAAGTAGAATGACATGGAGAGCATTTAAATCTGTAGAAGGAAGGCAGGGTAGGGGTTGTCCTCGAAAACGTTGGAAGGAAGGGGTAAGGGAGGTTTTGTGGCGAGGGGCTTGGACTTCCAGCAGGCGTGCATGAGCGTGTTCAATAGGAGTGAATGGAGACGAATGGTATTTGGGATCTGACAATCTGTTGGAATGTGAGCAGGGTAATATTTAGTGAAGGGATTCAGGGAAACCAGTTATTTTTATATAGCCAGACTTGAGTCTTGAAATGGGAAGGACAATGCCTGCACCCTAAAGGAGGGGTTTGGGATATTAGCAGTTTGGAGGGATATGTTGTGTATCTTCATACGTATATGCTTCTAAACTGTTGTGTTCTGAGCACTTCTGCAAAAACAGTGATTATGTATGAGTGAGGTGAAAGTGTTGAATGATGATGAAAGTATTTTCTTTTGGGGGATTTTCTTTCTTTTTTGGGTCACCCTGCTTCGGTGGGATTATTATTATTATTATAATCAAGGGGGGAAGAGCTGAACCCGTAGGATTATACAGCGCCCAGGGGGGGGGGGATGTGGAAGGTATTCAGGCTTAATTCGGGGAACTGGAGCACAGATCCAATTCCCTAAATCAAGAGCCCCTCACCAACATCAAGGAACCTTCCATGAGGGGCTTCGGTGGGAGACAGCCGACTTGTTGAAAAAAAAAAAAAAAAATACTTTTAAATACTTTCAATTACTCAGATATGGTAAACATGAGGAAATTAAATCTTCATCAGAGTACAAAACAAATTCTGGCCACAAAATAGAGTGAAACACCAATGTCAAAGACCTGGGAGTGATCATGTCGGAGGATCTCGCCTTCAAGGACCATAACATTGTATCAATCGCATCTGCTAGAAAAATGACAGGATGGATAATGAGAACCTTCAAAACTAGGGAGGCCAAGCCCATGATGACACTCTTCAGGTCACTTGTTCTATCTAGGCTAGAATATTGCTGCACACTAACAGCACCTTTCAAGGCAGGTGAAATTGTCGACCTAGAAAATGTACAGAGAACCTTCACGGCGCGCATAACGGAGATAAAACACCTCAATTATTGGGAGCGCTTGAGGTTCCTAAACCTATATTCCCTGGAATGCAGGAGGGAGAGATACATGATTATATACACCTGGAAAATCCTAGAGGGACTAGTACCGAACTTGCACACAAAAATCACTCACTATGAAAGCAAAAGACTTGGCAGACGATGCACCATCCCCCCAATGAAAAGCAGGGGTGTCACTAGCACGTTAAGAGACCATACAATAAGTGTCAGGGGCCCGAGACTGTTCAACTGCCTCCCAGCACACATAAGGGGGATTACCAACAGACCCCTGGCAGTCTTCAAGCTGGCACTGGACAAGCACCTAAAGTCAGTTCCGGATCAGCCGGGCTGTGGCTCGTACGTTGGTTTGCGTGCAGCCAGCAGCAACAGCCTGGTTGATCAGGCTCTGATCCACCAGGAGGCCTGGTCACAGACCGGGCCGCGGGGGCGTTGACCCCCGGAACTCTCTCCAGGTAAACTCCAGGTAAACATAATCCTGTAATTCATTATCTGATCTTTTATGGTTTTTCCTATGCAGTGCCAGTCATCATTCAGGTATTGTAATCATAATTATGTATAGCTTTTTTGTGGGGAATTTTATAAAGTTTCTATGTAGTCCATCCTAGATATAGTATAATCACAGCTCTGTGAATTTGGATGACAGTACTCTTTTTATAACTGAATAAGTAGTGATTCTTTTATGAGATCATGAAATCTTTCTCAGTTTGTGCTGACAGATTCATGTAGTCTAGGCATTACGACTGAAATCTCCCATATTAAAAGTCCAAGATTCAGAGATGAGTTTTTTTGTTAACATGTTTTGCTTGGGAGACATTTTTGGAGGTATGTAATATTCTTCTTAAGGTGTTTAAAATGAGTTTTTAAAGGAAAATGTTAATTTTTTATATTTTTTCAGTTCCACTTTATGTACTTTGCAACATTATTGATCTGGGTGACAGCAATTGTAGCAGTTGTTGTCAGTATTATCACCGAGCCTCCGGAGAGTTGGAGAGTAAGTATTTTGTCCCGTGTTAAAAAATTTCTTTAGTTTACCATATATACTCCATATACAGGTTGACCTCTTACTTTTTACAAAAAAAAAAAACCTACTTTATTATATATCTTGTGTGTATATGTACCATAATTTTTGAGGAACCTGAAAATGGGTCAGATGGCTCTGATGTAGAAAATGCTCCAGCCAAAATTAAAAATATACTGAAATAACACAGAAGGTTTCAAAGTATTTGTGACCAAAAAATATTAAGCCTTCATACTTGAGATGAATAGAGGAGCACTTCAGTAGTCTTGCTTGCTCATGCTAGACATGACCTACTTACACCCAACAGTTATAAAAAAGCAAACAATAAGTTTGAAGGAAGACTGTAAACCTATTGGCCCATGCTAAGCAAGTCCTCACCCAACCATTTATTAAATATTTTCATATTGAGAGAGATCAAATAAAGGGATAAAAGCTCAATGACACTGAAATTAAAGTTGCCAGTAAGTCAAAGACAAATCCAAAAGATGTCTTCCAAGTACAGTATAGAACAACTACAGAAAAGCTTGGTTCAGTGAAAACTAATGCTGGACAGCTTACTTATAATGAAGAAATGTACTTGGTTTTTAGCAGCTATTTCCTGTCATTCTTTACACAAGAAGACACAATGCAATCCAATTAATTCATTATTACAGTGGACCTGAAGAAAACGAATTACATAATATCACAGTCTCTAGACACATGGTTATTAAATCTAATCTACTTACATATACATTCATTATATACTCATTCAATTAGTCTTATTTGTATATGTCTAAAGTCCTTAAATATATTTATGAATGTAATGTTTATTACCCTTGTAGTCTTAAGTTAGGCTTAAACTTGCCCAAAATGCTCTGCATAACCATGGGCTTTCTATATGCATTAAAGTGTCACCCATTTCTTTATAAACAATGTATCATGTGGAAATAAACTATGAATTTGAAAGTAGAAATATTGAAGTAAAATAAGTCCTTCAGCCCTGACAAGCTCTTTTCATGAGTTCTCACAAAATGCCAAATAGAACTAAATGAATACTTGCCTGTCTATCTTATCTACCCTAACCTCCCACTGCTTGGACATAAGCCTATGAAAGATAGGCTTACTCTGCTACTGTGTGCCAGTGTCTGGATATTTCAAGCTGCAGCTTATACTTGCTTATCACTCGGTAAACCCCAGTGTTTAACCCTTAAACGGTCCAAATAGATAGACGTTCAAATTCGTAGTGCTCCAAAAGTAGATCTACTTTTTTTTACACATTTTCAAATATAACAAAAAAAAAAAATGTAGATAAAAGTTTGTTTTACACGTTTTCAAATGTAAAACAAAAAAAAAAAAGAGGATCTACATTTTTTTACATACTTTCAGATGTTGAAAAAACGTATATATACGTTTGGACCGTTTAAGGGTTAAACAAAAAAGCCAAGGGAGGGCTGGGTGGTTCTGGCATCTTGGAACGAATTAACACGGAACCTTGTATTTTGAGGCGAGTTACAATATTCTGGAGATACGTCCTCAAGGAGTAGATTAATATCATAACTTGAGGGGGCCACTGTATTACATTCTGTAGCTGCTACCGATACGACCACCTGACATCCCGGACACCATCTTTCAACCATGTGGGAAACAATCTGATTTTACATTTTCCCCAACTTTATGACACAGAGGAAATTTCCAAGAAAGAACCAGTATATCAAAATTTTCCCAGCAGTAACACAGGCAAACCATGTATTAACAATTTTTGGATACAAGCATGAATATTATAATCAAAAAGAAGCACTAAACCTACAAGGGTCATATAGCACAAGCATGAAAAGCGTTATATTCAAAATGTGTTATGTAGGTGCACACTATGAGAGATCATCCTGTATAACAAGCAGTATAAGCAACAGAAGTTGCAAGATTTTTTTGCAGATAGTATATACATACTGTACTGTACATTGAAATGCATTTCTGATCTCCATACTACAAAATGGATGTAAATGCACTGAAGAATGTACAGAGAAAGATGAAGTTAATCCACTGTGTGAGACATTGTTTCTATGAACCATTACTTGTAATATTGCTTTTATTATGTGCAACTTCAAGATAATTATACAGTGGACCGTCGGTTATCGGCCAACTCGGTGATAGGCTGGTTTTTCAGCTCCCGGTGATTGGCTAGGTTTTTCAGCTCCCGGTGATCGGCCGTTTCAGACGTGTCCGCTGGCTGGGGCTGCTTACGAGTCAGTTTGGCTGTCTCTCTCGGTGTGTGAGGAAGCTTCTACTCATACATCCATTGATAGAACCACTGGATGGCGAAACGTCTACAATAAAGATAACCAGATGTTGCACAAGTGTCTTAACTTTCATTGAAAATTGGGTTGGGCAAATGTTTTGTTAGTGGGATGGATTGTAAAGGACCTGCCGAGTATGGGCCAGCAGGCCTGCTGCAGTGATCCTCCTTTCTTATGTTCTTATTTTGCTTGTTTTCCATTGTTTTTTGTGGACTTTTTGCAGTGCAACTGCGAAATAAGTAACCATGTCTCCAAAGTTCCTAGTGAAGTTCCTGTGGTAAAGTGAGAAACACCATGGAATTTAGGTGTAGCAGGCATGCAGAGAGTGTAACAGGCATGCAGGGAGTGTAGCAGGCATGCAGAGAGTGTAGCAGGCATGCAGAGAGTGTAGCAGGCATACAGGGAGTGTAACAGGCATGCAGAGAGTGTAACAGGCATGCAAAGAGTGTAACAGGCATGCAGGAAGTGTAGCAGGCATGCAAGGAGTGTAACAGGCATGCAGGAAGTGTAGCAGGCATGCAAGGAGTGTAACAGGCATGCAGGAAGTGTAGCAGGCATGCAGGAAGTGTAGCAGGCATGCAGGAAGTGTAGCAGGCATGCAGGAAGTCTAGCAGGCATTCCAGAAGTCAGCATTAGTCTTCATTAAAGGTATGTAATACTGATTTAATTGTTAAAAAGTTAATTTTTGTATGAATATTTTTGTGTGGAACAGATTAATTGTATTTACATTAATTCTTATGGGAAATATTATTTCAGTTTTCGGCCATTTCGGTTTTAGGTCGAGCTTCTGGAATGGATTACGGCCGATAACTGAGGGTCCACTGTACTTATAAACCTCCACCTTACTGCCTCGCATTAGTATTAAGTATAAATAAAATTGTAAAACAGTTAACCACTATTTCTTATTTATTTTTAAGTATTTACTATGTACTATTATTGTGCTTAGTTTTAATTAGTTACTATGTATTACTATTAGTCTGCCTGAAATGCCCTGGCATGATAGTGGCTATCTTTATACTTAGCAAAACAAAATTGTAGTTACACATTGTAACCTTTACAAAGAAATAAACCTTTATCTTATCTTTATGAAGATAGACTAAGATCTCTGAGCCTGCACTCTCTTGAAAGATTTAAATACAGGTATAAATAAAGACAGGTATAAATGACATGCAGAGGCTATTTAGCTATAAAAAAAAAAATTGAAACTATTAGTATTTCAAATTGCATAAATTCAGATTTAGAAAGGATGTAGGAAGTATTGGTTTGACAATAATAGGCAAATAGTCAATGAAGCTAAGTACTATAGCTTTAAAAATAGCTTGGACATGTATGAATGAGAATTGTATTTTTGTTTTAATTATGTCGGTGCCATATAGATACGTCTTATGAGCCATTGTTGATGACATTTAAATTAATACCCCAAAATTCTAGCGGCTTCAGATCTAGCAGGAGAAAGCTGGTAAACCTACATGTAAGAGAATGGGTCTGTGCTGTCAGTGTGAGCAGTATTAAAAAAATCCTAGAGCACGCAGTGCATAAGGAGAAAAAAAACCCTCCATGTTTTTGGATTAACCCTTTGACTGTCGCAAGCCCCTTTCTGAAACTGTCATTCTATATAAAAAAATTTTTGGAAAAAAAAAAAAATTATTTTTTCTTATGAAATGATAGAGAATCTTTTCCCGATGGTAATGACACCAAAAGTACGAAATTTGGTTGAAAACTCACGGAATTACGCTCCCACAAAGTTAGCGGTCTCGGCGACAGATAGGCATCGGCGATTTCGCCGACTTTGAACCCTATTTTTGGCCAATTCCGTTGTTCCAGTTGACCAAACTCAGCTATTTCTTTAGAACAACATTTTTTTTACAAATTGAGTACAAGAAACCGCCCATTTACCGATTTGAACTACCCGATAAAGTGGTCAGAAATTGGTAATTTGGCCAATTTCACGCAAATTAAAAAAGATGCCAGTTTCAAAATAGAGTCCAGAATAAACAATATAGACACTCTTGGCACTAAAATAACATATCCTCTGTTCATTAGTCATGTGTCTAGGCCCCTCTTATATTACTATTGCTTTCTATTTCGATTTTTTATTCATACAAAAAATAGAAGATTTACTGTTATGCAGACTACTGCATTATTGTAAAAATAGTATAAATAATATCAGTGCACTAGTGAAAGAATATTAGACTTCCCAGTTGACGTGTATTGGACGTGTGGTGTGATTTGCTTACTCTTGAACATTGGTAAAAATCGAACATTTCCGCTACTTTGAGCTCAATTTCAAGGTCGTTTTCATTGTGAAACTAATCAAAATCATCTCTATTTCTGTAATATGTGTTCCATTTTATCATGTGAAACCATGAAAACGAGAATACAACGATAAATACTATATGAAAATACACCTCAAAGTCGGCGTTTTAATCCAAAAAAACGGTCGGAGTTTTTTTTTTCTCATTATGCACTGCGTACTGCAGGATTTTTTTTATATGGTGTACACTGACCACAGACCCATTCTCTCACATGTGGGCCTACCAACTTTCTTCTCCTGCTTGGTTTGAAGCCACTAGAATTATTGAGTATATATACGTCTGAAACATTGGCTCGTAAGACGTATATATACGACCAAAACAGTCAAAGGGTTAAAATGCAGACATTGAGTTGTACTTTCATAAGGTATTTATGGTTGTATTCTCATTTTCTTGATCTCATTTGATAGAATGGAAGACATGTTACAGAAATAGAGATGATTTTGATTGGTTTCATGATGAAAAGTACAGTGGACCCTCGTTTTTCGTAATTAATTCGTTCCAGAGAGTGTGACTATTATCGAAATTGACAATTTGTGAATCCATTTTCCCCATAAGAAATAATGTAAATCCAATTAATTTGTTCCAGACACCCAGAAGTATCAAAAAAAAAGTTTTTTTTTTTTTTACCTTGAAGATAGATGTACATGCACAAATGAATGAACATTCAACATGACAGTTACCTTTATTGAAGGCTGTTGTTGATGAATGGAAGACAGGGAGGAGGAGAGAGGGAAGAGAGGTTATTGTTTGGAAGGGGAATCCTTCTCCATAAGGACTTTAGGTCACTTCAGGGATCACTTCCCTAGCTTAATCCTTTCAGGGTCGACAGGCCCTCTCAGAGACTTGTTCTCAGGGTTGGCCAAATTTAAAAAAAAAAAATTCTTATGGAAAGATATAGAATCTTTTCCCGATCATAATGACACCAAAAGTATGAAATTTGATGGAAAACTTACGGAATTATGCTCTCGCAAAGTTAGCAGTCTCGATGATGTTTACACATCGGCAATTTTGCCCACTTTGAGCCCTATTTTCAGCCAATTCCAGTGTACTATTCGACAAAAATCATAACTATTTCGTTAGAACTCCATTTTTTTTCTATCGAATGAGTACAAGAAACCACCCATTTACCGATTTCAACTATCCAATACAGTGATCAGAATTTAGCAATTTTGCCAATTTCACACAAATTTCAAAAGATGCCAATTTCCAAATAGGGTCCAGAATAAACAAGAAAGACATTCCTGGCACTAGAATAATATTTCTTCTGTTCATTAGTCACGTCCCCATGCCCCTCTTACATTCTTTTGCTTTCCACTTTGAATTTTTATTCTCACAAAAAAATAGAAGATTTACTGTTATGCAGACTACTGCATTAGTGTAGAAATGGTATAAATAATATCAGTACATTTGTGAAAGAATATTAGACTCACCAGTTGACGTATATTGGACACATAGCATGATTTGTTTACTTTTGAACTTTGGTAAAAATCAAACATTTCTGCTACTTTGAGCTCAATTTCAAGATACTTTTCATTGTAAAACCAGTCGAAATCATCTCAATTTCTGTAATATGTCTTCCTTTCTATAAAATGAGACCAGGAAAACTAGAATACAACAATAAATACCACACGAAAATGCAGTGCAAAGTCGCTGTTTTAATCCAAAAACACGGTCAAAGATTTTTTTTTTCCCTCATTACGCACTGTGTGCTGCAGGATTTTTTTTTATACTGTGCACACTGACCACATAGACCCATTCTTTCATATGTATGCCTACCAGCTTTCTCTCATTAGATTTGAGGGCGCTAGAATTTAAGCGTACTTGTACGTCAAAAACCCTGGTGCGCAAGCCATACTAGTACGTCCGAAACCCTGAAAGGGTTAAATATAGATTTACATGCAGAAAAGAATGCCAAATAAATGTAAAGCACTAATAAAATGTATAAATGAACATTTAACATCACACTTACCTTTATTGAAGACTCTTGTTGGTGTATGGCAGAGTTGAGAGGGAAGCGAGTTTATTGTTGGAGAATATGACACTAATATCAACTTTACGGCTTATTTATCTATCACAATTCAACTAATATGACAAACAATATCAACATAAAAACGTAGAATATACTCTAGAATGAATAAAATAAGTCATGTATGTCACGAGAGGTGTTGTTGGGTGTATAAGGGCCACTGTGAGCATAAGCCGTCCATAATAGTGGTGAAGCAGCAGCTGAGGCGGCGGTGTTTTCTGTACCCCTATATAACTCCGACAACATTGGAGGAGTTAGTAGAATCGCTGAATCACTGAAGAAGGCGCCCTCTACCACAATCACAACTGCTACCACCCTCTACCACCATCACTACCATCCTGTACCACTATCACAACTGCTACCACCCTGTACCACTATCACAACTGCTACCACCCTGTACCACTATCACAACTGCTACCACCCTGTACCACTATCACAACTGCTACCACCCTGTACCACTATCACAACTGCTACCACCCTGTACCACTATCACAACTGCTACCACCCTGTACCACTATCACAACTGCTACCACCCTGTACCACTATCACAACTGCTACCACTCTACTACCACCACTTATTAATTTTTCTACAAACTTTTTCTTAAATTGTGTGTGTTTCTCACATTCTTTACCAAAAGGCTGGCACTAGAAGCTTTCTTTGGAGCCATGGTGGCTTATTTAGCAGTTGCAAGCACTAAAATGAATGGAATATAATGAAATGCATCGTGTGAACTGGTGGGATCATCCTCACTCTCTGATAAACAATGGAACACTGGCTGGGAATGGAGTGTGAGGCTGCTCGGGGCAGTGCATACGCGTCTAAGACAAACAACTATTTGCAAGTCAAACGACGATTTTCAAGTCAATGTTTTGACGAAATAAAGTAATGATTTTAAAAAATTATGACTTTTGAGCCTTACGAAAAACAAGGGTACACTGTACCTTGAAATTGAGCTCAAAGTAGTGAAAATGTTTGATTTTTGCCGATGTTCAAAAGTAAACAAATGACGTCACCATCCAATATGTGTCCAACTGGCCAATCTAGTACACAGTCACAGATGGGTTGACATTATTTATACAATTATATAATAATGCAATAGTCTGCATAACAGTAAATCTTCTATTTTTTGTGTGAATGAAAATTCAAAATAGAAAGCAAGAGTAATATAAGAGGGGCCTGGAGACATGACTGATGAACAGAGAAAATGTTATTTTAGTGCCAGGAATGTCTGCATTGTTTATTCTGGATCCTATTTTGAAATTGGCATCTTTTGAAATTTGCTTGAAATTGGCCAAATTTTCAGTTTCTGACCACATTATTGGGTAGTTGAAGTTGGTACATGGGCAGTTTTTTGTACTCAATTGATAGAACAAATGGAGCTCTAAAGAAATAGCTATGAGTTTGGTCGACTGGAACAATGGAATTGACTGAAAATAGAGCTCAGTGGGCAAAATTGCCTATGCGTATATATCGCCGAGAGCATAATTCCGTAAGTTTTCCATCAAATTTTGTACTTTTGGTGTCATTACCATCGGGAAAAGATTCTCTATCATTTTATAAGATTTTTTTTTTTAAATTCTTTGACACTAAGAGTGAGTTCAGGATCAGGGGTCTCAACAGTGAAAGGGTTAAGGGGAAGTGCTCAACCCATAGTGGTCATATTGTGCTGGGGAATGAAAGACATTCAGGTTCAGTCCAAGGAAAGGAAGGACAAGTCCTGTTCCTTGAATCAGAAGCCCTTCACTGGGGTATGAGTGATCATTAGATTTGAGGAGGACATGCCTATTATGAGCCAGTAGGCCTATTCCAGCACTATTCTATTCTTCATGTTATGAGTACTGCATGTAATTTGATTATATATTTTATTACTATTATTATTTGTTCTTAGAATATAGAATACCACATACTGTATTTATAAAATAGTGAAATACACTAAAGTTATTCACCTTACCTAATTTATGCTTGTTATTATTATAGTCAAATAAAGCTCTAAACCAACAAGGGTTTTTATGCTTGTTCTTTGCAAGCTTCAAGCTGATATATTTATAAAAGCTTTAAGTGAATTACGATTATTATTATTATTAGTGAATGTTGATGAAAGTTTTTCCTTTTTGGGCCACCCTGCCTTGGTGGGAGATGGCTGATGTGTTCATAAAAATAGTAATAATAATTAGTATTACTATCATAACTTAGTGCTAAACCCACTAGGGTCATAGTGCTGAGTGATTTTTTTTTTACCCAAAATGACTAGAGGGTACGTGTTTGAAAATTATAAAAAATAATCGAAAAATTTAAAAGTTTTCTCGTTGTATGTTTATACATATGAATGAAGAACTTGATGTTCTAATTGTTACAGTATAAAGTAATTATACATTTGTAATACAGGTAGTTGTATTTGTAATAGTTTCATATAGCAACATCTAAATTTATTCATTTCATTATACAGGCAGGTCCTGCTTATACAGTAGGTTAGGTTCCAGGCTACTGCTGTAAAGTGAAAATTGTTGTAAAGTGTAATATAACATTTATTCACTTTCAAATGCATATAAAAGCCTGATAACATGTTTACACTATCATATATAAAGTGAGCAATAGTGCTAAAAAAATGCATATACAGTACACACATTACTTACCCTAAAATATTTTCATATTTAGCTTATAGCAAGTGGTGAATATATTTATTGTGGGAAATCTGAATAAATGAAAAACTGCTGCATCAGTGAAATGCTGTAAAGTGGGGCTTGCCTGTTTACTGGTAGTAATTTTAGAGAGAATTTTAAATGCCAGATAAGGATGATATTTCAAGCAGTAACTAAAGCAATAATTAATCCAGTTATTTTTCTTCAGTTAATTAGAACAACTTTCTTCACTCGGTATGACCGGACTGAACGTCATGATGACCTGGAACTTAAAGAGAAGGCCAGGAATGAACTACTACTGGATCAACCACAAGATACAGGTATAAAATTTTTTTTGCTCAACCTGTGGAACATCTTTTTTTTTCCTGCTACTGAGAGCAGTTACAGCCCATTTATATTTTTTGGTTAAACTATACAATACAGTACTGTGTGTGAGTGTGGTTGAGATCAGAGTGGAGACGAGTGGTTTTTGGAATTTGAAGGGCTGTCTGAGCATGAGCAGGATTTGAGTTTTGGAAGTAGGAAGCACATTGCCAGTGTTCTGAAAGATAAGTGATGTTACATTTCTGAAGGTCATTTACACTGAATTCCCTGCACACCTGACAAGATACTGAATAAGTGATAGTAAATGTGCTTCTTTGGATCACCTTACCTTGGTGGGAAACAACTTGTGTTAAGAATAAGGCACAATACTGTGACCTGGTCCATTGACTGGTCAATAGACCAGGTCAGACCAAAACATCATCATAAGTTTCTTTCTCCTATGTGCTGGTTATTTGTGTACTGAACTTGTGTTAAAATTGTAATAATTTAAAATTTCCTGTATAATAAAAGTAGTAGAGAGAAACCAAGGAGCAGTAATGTGGTGTCTAGAGTGGTAGCTCTAATTCATCAGTGGGTTGATAAAAACTGAAACTAAGTTGATGTAACCTTTGACTATATAATGTCTGAGATAGGCCAAAGGTTCTATCTGGATCAGTTTTAATCTCACAAGGAAGATTTTTTTTTCAACATACTAGCCATCTTCCATCAAGGCAGGGTAACCTGAAAACAAGGAAAACTATAAAGCTTTTCTTTTTACATTTAGTAATTTATACAGTAGTACAGTAGTAGTAGTTACTAGCCCCTTGCTCCCGGATATTAATTGCCTCTTATGACACTTGGCTAATGGAGGAAGGATTCTTTTTTCACTTCCCCCATGAGTAGGAAGATTAACCCTTTGAGGGTCGACAGGCCCTCTCCGAAACTCGTTTTCAGGGTCGGCCAAATTTAAAAAAAAAAATTATTTTCTCTTATGAAAAGATAGAGAATCTTTTCCCGATCATAAAGACACCAAAAGTTTGAAATTTGATAGAAAACTTACGGAATTATGCTCTCGCAAAGTTAGTGGTCTCGGCGATGTTTATGCATCGGCGATTTTGCCCACTTTGAGCCCCATTTTCGGCCAATTTCACTGTACTAGTCAACAAAAAACATGAATATTTCGCTAGAACTCCATTTTTTCTATCGAATGGGTGCAAGAAACCACCCATTTATGAAATTCAACTATCCAGTACAGTGGTCAGAATTTAGCAATTTTGCCAATTTCACACAAATTTCAAAAGATGCCAATTTCCGAATAGGGTCCAGAATAAACAAGAAAGACATTCCTGGCACTAAAATGACATTTCCTCTAGTCATTAGTCACGTCTCAAGGCCCCTCTTATATTCTTTTGCTTTCCACTTTGAATTTTTATTCTCACAAAAAATATAAGATTTACTGTTATGCAGACTACTGCATTAGTGTAAAAAATGGGATAAATATTATTGGTGCACTTGTGAAAGAATATTAGACTCACCAGTTGACGTGTATTGCACGCTTGGCACGATTTGTTTACTTTTGAAGTTTTGGTAAAAATCGAACATTTCTGCTACTTTGAGCTCAATTTCAAGGCACCTTTCATTGTAAAACCAGTCAAAATCATCTCAATTTCTGTAATATGTCTTCCATTCTATAAAATAAGACCAAGAAAACTAGAATACAACAATAAATACCATACGAAAATACACTGCAAAGTCGCTGATTTATTCCAAAAAAATGGTCAAAGTTTTTTTTTTCTCATTATGCACTGTGTGCTGCAGGATTTTTTTTAGACTGTGCACACTGACCACATAGACCCATTCTTTCATATGAAGGCCTACAAGCTTTCTCCCACTAGATTTGAGGCCACTAGAATTTATGCGTACTAGTACGTCAAAAACCCCTACGTGTAAGACGTACTAGTACGACCAAAACCCTCAAAGGGTTAATACTAGAGCTAAAAGCAGCAAGATCCATATTTAGTGCAGACTTTTTTTTTTTTGAAGAGTGTAAAAAAAAAATTTGAAACTGAGATTTCCACTTATACAGGATACAGTATGCTTGCCAGTATTTTTATTTTTAATTTCTGACTCCCGTTTTTGGATGTTGCCTGTAAAGCATCGTTACTTACCATCTTGAATCTTTTACCACTTTCATATCTATTGAAAGCAAAATGTGTTTACACAAATAACCCGCACATAAAAGAGAGAAGCTTACGATGACGTTTCGGTCCGACTTGGACCATTGACAAAGTCACACTAACCAGAAGTGGAGCAGGACGGCTATATATAGGCAGGACGAGGTGGTGGTAGTAGTAGTAGTAGTAGTAGTAGTACAAGAATGGTATATAATACCGACAAGATGAAATTAAGACACATGCGCAACACCCGGGCATCCCTATCGTAGACGTTTCGCCAGCCACTGGATGGATGGATGACTTTGTCAATGGTCCAAGTCGGACCGAAACGTCGTCGTAAGCTTTTCTCTTTTATGTGTGGGTTATTTGTGTATCGTTCCAGTCACGGTATTGTGCCTTTTTTTGTTATTTTAAAATGTGTTTAGTCTGTTCCCTAATTCTGGAATACTTTAACATGGTGATGAGGTTTGAACAAGTTGTGTTCACAGGCTTTTGAGCCAAGGAATTGAAACTACCTTCCACTTCCTTGGATCAAACCAAAATGCTGCCCATTCCCAGGCACTGTGTGACCCATTAGGGATCTACTATGAGGCCTGGTCGTAGACCTGGCCGCAGGGGCGTTGACCCCTGAAACCCTCTCCAGGTATACTACTGGTTTACAGGGTATATAGGGACCTTCTGCTCTGAGAGGTGTGCCACTCCTTACATAGTGCTTATCTGACTTCATCTGGAGAAAGACGTGCATGTGTGCTCGCTTGCAAGTGTGAGTATGGAGGGAATATGTGTGTGTGTGTGTGTGTGTGTGCACACCTATATGTGGTTGCAGAGGTTGATTCACGGCTCAAGAGTGTGTGTGTGTCTCACACTTGTCACACAATGGACCGAACTTTGTGTTGAATGACCCACATGGGTTTATCACATGATAAATTAAGCACCAAACCCAAAAAGGTTGTGAAGGAGGGAGTTTATTATGACATGCACAAGGAAGAGCTAAACCCCCAAAGGTTATGCAACACCTGGGGAATAAGAAATACCTCGATTTTGTAGAAGGGTAGTTCAGATTTCTTGGATCAAGAGCCCCTCACCTCTGCTATTTCTGCTTGGGGATCAACAGAAGCAACTCGCCTAAAGCTGAAAATAACCCAACAGAAAGCCGCAGTAAGAATTATCATGCAATCTAGTGCAAGACAGCACACACCCCCAATCTTCAAAGACCTAAACTTACTGTACAGAACATTCACACCTACTATTGTGCAATCTTCATTTACAGAACCATAAACTCTAATTTTAACCCGGAATTAAATCAATTTCTCGATAGTTACAACAGGACCCATACACGACACCAGACACAAAAATCTCTTTGACATTCCCCATGTCCGGCTAAACCTATACAAAAATTTGATGTACATAAAAGGGCCTATTATTATTATTATAATAAAAAAGAAGCGCTAAGCCACAAGGGCTATACAGCACTGCAGGGTAGGGAAGGAAGCGAGGGTATTGGATGGCAGAAGGGAGGAGGGATGATCAGCAGGTTACAGAAAACAGCGGGGCAGGGGATAGTACGGGGGTAGAGGGTAGCAAGAGATTGAAGTAGAAAGGGCTGAAGGTATCAGAATTTGTGAAGTAAGTCAGTTGTTGTCAAAAAAAATCAATGAGAGAGTCCGGATGAAAGGTGGGTCCATCAGCGAGAAGGGAAGGTAAAGAGAGAGCAGCGGAGCGAAGACGACGACAGAGGTAAATTCTGCGTGCTCGTTGATAAAGTGGGCAGTCCAAAAGAATGTGGCTGACTGATAATGGAGCTTGGCAATTCTCACAGAGAGGAGCTAGACGCCTCTCCATGAGATATCCATGAGTAAGACGAGTATGGCCAATGCGAAGACGGGAGAGAGTAGTCTCCCAACGTCGACACTGGTGATAAGAAGACAGCCAGTAACCTATACTCGGTTTAATAGATTGAAGTTTGTTGCCAAGCATAGTAGACCAACGTTGTTGCCAACGGGTGTGAAGGTGGGAAGATATTGCAGCAAAATAGTCCGTAAATGGAATACCTCTATAAGAAACTGGTAGGTCATGTACTGCTGACCGCGCAGCAGTGTCTGCCTGTTCATTGCCCTGTACGTCAACATGACCAGGGACCCAACAAAAAACAATATCTTTATTCTTGGTAAAGATGCGGCGTAGCCAAAGTTGGATACGGAGGACTAAGGGTGAGGTGTATCAAATTTTTGTATAGCCTGTAAAGCACTAAGGGAGTCTGAGACAACCACAAATGATGACACAGGCATAGATGCAATACGGATAAGTGCTGTAAGGATGGCATACAATTCAGCAGTAAAAATACTAGCCGAAGATAGTAAATGCCCTTGCACGACGCTGTCCGGAAACACTGCTGCGAATCCTACGCCATCAGAAGACTTAGAGCCATCTGTGTACACAGCAATGGCATGAGAATGAGTGAAAGTGGTCAAGAAAAAGAGAGCGGGAAGCGACCGTAGACAGTTGGGCTTTCGAGCAAGGGAGGGAGAAAGAACAGACTCGAACAGCTGGAACTTCCCAGGGGGGTAGGGAAAAGTGAGATGCTACATGTACATATTATTATTATAATCAAAAAGAAGCGCTAAGCCACAAGGGCTATACAGCGCTGCAGGGTAGGGAAGGAAGCAAGGGAATTGGATGGCAGAAGGGAGGGGGGATGATCAGCAGGTTACAGAAAACAGCGGGGCAGGGGATAGTACGGGGGTAGAAGGTAGCAAGAGATTGAAGTAGAAAGGGCTGAAGGTATCAGAATTTGTGAAGTAAGTCAGTCGTTGTCAAAAAGTCAATGAGAGAGTCCGGATGAA